CACACACACACACACACACACACACACACACACACACACACACACACACACACATCGATCAATCATATTACAGGAGCAACAAACAAAAAAATATAAGCATTAAAAAAAAAAGACTCCGTGCTCGTACTTACAGCTCAAAGACAGAACACGGAGTCCATAACGAGTGCAACGACCTGCGGACTTTCTGTTGAAACGCGTTCGCAAAGTGCAATTCACTCTGCCTCGATTTCATAGATTCATCCAATAAAACAAAAACACGGAGAAATCATTAAAATTCCTTCATCCCCCTCCCCCCACCTTCCTCGTCTCATATTGATACAAGCTCACGAAAAATGAACAAAAAAAAAAAAAAAAAAAAAAAAATCAATCCTGTGCGCAATGCCTCGCGTCACTCTGTAAGCTCATCGCATGAATTTCCCAGCCCATTGAAAATCCTCCGATCGCGTCCAAAAAAGCGCCTCAACATCCAAAGACAAACGAAAGGGGAAAACCTCTGCACTCTTTTGTGCACACTACGTTATAGGTACATACTTACAGCTTAAAAGACGGGATCAAGCAAAACGTATAGTCGCGCGGAGCGCGAATCGGTTGGGGGGAGGGTTAGACACACTCTCCGGTCACTTTCTCCGGCGCGCCGTCATGCTCCCCGCACTCCGCGAGTACAACGAGGAAGTTCGCGGAAGGTTTTTCCCCCCTCCTCCTCCTCATCTGGCAAAACTCGACGGCGCCCCTTTTTCTTCCTCGGTCTCTCTTCGTCTGGCATACACACGCTGCTATACGTGTACCAATATAGATATACAGGTACTCGCGAAGGAGAGAGTGGGAGCGAGGAAAAGGGAGAGGCGAGCGTGACGCGTAAATCTGGCGATAATCTGGCCTGCCACCTTTCCCTCTTTCTCTCTCTCTCTCTCTCTCTACTCCTGTACTGCCGCGGCCGTCGACTTTCTCCTATATGTACCCGCGGGCGCACACAACAGGAGGTACTTGTATATATACGCGCTCGGAAATCTTTTTTGACGCTGCTGCAGCGCACGTCGGAGATGGCAAAAACAGAAGAAGCTCGTACTTTGTTTTGGTTTTACTCGCTGCTCGTGTCTAGCTCGGAGCTCCTCCACCAAGAACGTGTTGGTGACATGCTATATACTTGCTCCGTTGGACTCGGCATGACGAGAGTATACAAAAAACGATTGACTCGCGAAAAAACCGTCGATTCCTTGCAAAGCTTTTTTATCAAGAAAATCCGGGAAAAAGACAATGCGCGCCTCTTTTTGTCGCGACACACGTAATTGAGCAGAAGAAGAAACAACAGATGCGGTTCTCAGTTTTCCTCTCTCTGATGATTGACAAGAAGAAGCCAAGGGGGAGGGGGCAAACTTCCTACGCGACCTTGACTTTTTCTAGCTAGGAATGCGTGGTGCCTTTTTTTCTTGTCTCCGCCGATTACACGCGCCTCTGATGATATAATGAATAGTTCGTACCTACATACCCGGGTGTTTTTCGTTGTTTCTACGCGCGGCCAATCGAATGGCCCCGAAGGACGATCATTCGTTTGCACTTGTACGATACCGATCATATAGAAAACGATTGCTAGTCATCGAGATACACGGACCCTAGTGTACAGTAAAATATCTAATTTGCGCGATTACTATACTCGTTTTGGAGGAGCGTGAAGAAAAAAAAAGAATAGATTCTCCATCCTGTGTATATGCTCGTCTCGAACGAGCAACGGAAGAGCCGATATATAGATATATAGGTACGTGTACACGTTGGCGGAAACTATATGCTCGTATCGTCCTTCCACCGCCTGACTTTTCGAAAAATCCCCACGTGCGCATGTATATGTACGCGCTTTTCACGTGAGCGAGGCAAATTGCCGGCAATTAAAAGCCGAGCTGGGCATTTTCTTTTTCTCCTCCTCCCTGCCTGCCCGCCCGGATCTCGTATACTTACACATGTACACGCGCGTGTATAATTTCAAGCAGCACATCCTCGCCTATATATCTGAAAGCCTTAACCCAATAACGCTGTACGCGGCGTCGCCGATCATGAGAATAAGTAATTTTCCAGCTCCGGCAATAACGATCGACTCTGTGTGTACTATCGCGAGTGTTTTATCGCGTGATGTGCCGCGCAACAACGATTTTTCGAGCGACTTGCGCCTGTCTTGCCGCGTTTGCGTTTCTCGTGCCATTCTCATGCTGTTGTATATAATGTACGTGCAGAAGGTACAGTTGTTACCGATCTCGGATCGTTATGCGCGTTTATTACCCTAGTTGCGCTGAATCGAATGAAATAAAGTACCCAAATGTATAGTTTTCGCGAAGGTAACGAAGGGACAGAAAAATCGTTAAAAAACGATAAATTTAGCCTCACACACACACACACACACACACACACACATATGAAAAACACACGACCAGCAGCCCCTCCCAATGTATACGAAGCAGGCCATGATTGAACGAGCACGCACGTTGCGCCTTTGTTTTTCTCTGTTCTCTGTCACCCCGGCTAATGTGAACGACAACAGTACGTAGACCTGGACGAGTTCCTGTCGGAGAACGGCATCCCGGTGGACGGGGTGGCCGGTGGCGGCGGTGGCGGTCAGGGCGCGATGCCGGTCTCGGGCGGCCAACTGCACAAAATCGGCAACGGCGACGGAACGAACGGCGGAGGCCCGGGCAATGGACACCAAGGACCCGCGGGTAGCTTGCACCTCGAGCCCGTCACCAAGCGCGAGCGCTCGCTCTCGCCCAGCGATTGCTGCTCGCCCGACACCCTCAATCCACCCTCGCCCGCTGACTCGAGTGAGTTGCTTTTTTTTTTTTTTTTTTTTTTCACGACTCTCTTTTGGGTCAACCGCGATTGACATCCGAGTTATCTGTGTACCTCTTTTGCGGCCAGACCGGTGATACGGGGACTTTTATTTACGAGCCCACGCGTCGCGATTCCAGTTATCTACAAAAGGATAAACGTCTCGCTCGGGTTGACTTGTTCTCACATACTCTCTCGTGTTAGCAGCAGGGGGACTTGGTTGCCTTGGTTTTCAAAAAAATAGCCCTCACGCGACGGATGCATCGAAAATAATGTGATTTCTACATGAATAAGTATACTAGTAGAAAAAGACGAGATTGGTAAGACGAAGGCATCAGCCGGAGAGCGACTTTGTTTTATCGAGCCGTGAAAAACATGACGAGGGTTAACTCATCGAAACTCGGTCAAGCTCGAAAGTTTGCGGCTTATCGGGGAGCGTTCGCCCGAGACGGCAGATACAGCGTGTTTATCGTCTCGGAGCGCGACGAAATTTTCAAAGTGTGTACTTATCGGCCCAAGAATCTGTGTAATTATCTAAGCTTACGAAATAAGGGGCGATGGGGCAACACGTGTGAGAACGAGTTGGAGATAAGGGCATTGGGTTTACTGCTCGTTGCCGTGCACGTATATACAGTGTGTATAAATGGCTTGTCTCTTGTAGCGCTCTCGATGGCCTCATCCGGGCGGGACTTTGACCCCCGGACCCGGGCCTTTTCCGACGAGGAGCTCAAGCCCCAGCCCATGATCAAGAAGTCCAGGAAGCAGGTGAGCATGACACCCCCTCCTCCTCCTCCTCCTCCTCCTCCTCCCTCGTACACTTTTTGCCTCCCCCTTTTCCGTATCACCTCGCGTATGCGCATCTATTTCATCTTTACTCTCTCGTTCGCTTCAAAACCACACATGTGCATTCTGTGTGCTTGAAACGCAGTTTTGGCTTTTTTAATTTTCACTCTTTGGCATTTATAAACTCTATTATTGTATAAACCATATATTACCACATGATGCATATTTGAGATATTATTTAGATAAATACAATACGTATAATATATCACTGCTGAACGAAGACTATAATCGCAAACACAACGCGAGACGAAATTCATCGCGATGACTATCGATTATTATTAATTTTCGCGCTTAAGCGTAACCAATTAACCGCGCCTCATATAGTACTAACAATTCCAAAATCGTGGTGGAGGGGAAAATGCTATGTATACATATATATGTAACTGTGTAACGAGAACAACAACATCGGTCGGCGAACGCCAGGTATAAACGAGAAAATTAAAGAAAAAGGATTTGCCGTTGCAGTTCGTTCCCGACGACCTGAAGGACGACAAATACTGGGCGCGTCGCAGAAAGAACAACATGGCGGCCAAGCGGTCCAGGGATGCGCGCCGCATGAAGGAAAACCAGATAGCCCTGCGTGCCGGTTTCCTCGAGAAAGAGGTAATTTACGCTCATACCTCTCGCTCGAAATGGACCCTTGGGTGCAACGGTATATAACTTTTCCCTTCCCCTATTTTTTTTTCGCAGAACATGGGCCTTCGACAAGAGTTGGATCGGTTAAAGAACGAAAACATGCTGCTGCGCGACAAACTGAGCAAGTACACGGACGTGTAACCGGCCGGTCTCTCTTATTCTCCTCCTTCTTCTTCTTCTTCTTCTTGTTCTTCTTCTCCAAACAACATCAACGACGACTACAACAATGGAAGCCGCGTACAGTAGCAGCCGACAACAACAACCCCATTTCCCGAGCACCTTTACGCGTGTGATCAATTTACACGTTAATAAGAATGAAACATGCACACGTGCATATCGTACCTCCCCTTGAGTTTTTTTTTTATATATATATATAAAGGCAGGATAGAAAAATTAAAACGAATCGAGCTAATGAGTGGGCTACCAACATGTATATCGCATTTAGGGGGCTTGCGTCGATATTGCACTGTGGAGCTATGTTGTTACCACTGCGTACACCATTGGTTTTCCTCTTCCTAGGTTTTTTTTTTTTTTCTCTCGTTACTTACCGCTATACACAATGAAGAATATTATGCTCTCGTCGTGATTTTTACCCAAGCGCGTTTACGTTACTTTACAATGTATATCCCTCTCGTCCCGTCCTCTTTTTTTTGCTACCGAGTACTCTGCGGAATTTTAGTTTTTTTTTTTTTTTTTTTCAACCCGAAAACTTTCGTAGAGCGCGATGTTTGTTTGTATCCCTTTGTATATTAACGTGGAACGACGAAGGTTTCGAAAAACAGAGGAAAGTGATGATGTAATCAAATGTTACCATGCACTTTGAAAAAAAAAAATGTGTTTTTTTTTTTTTTTTTTTTGCAAAATATAGATCACGCTGAACTTGAAATCGCTCGAACAAGAGTATGTTGACGATTTTATACGATAACAATGTTTCGTCCAAGTTTTGTTGTATACATACTACCGGAGTGAAAAATCAGACAGTCTTTGTTTTGCAAGCGTTCAATGCTCACAGTTAGAAGTAACACTTTTTTTCAGATTTTTTATCGCTAGTTTGATAATCATCAATTTTTCCTTCTTTATTTTTTTTTATTAGACTAATTTTTAATTATTTTTATGTAAGGAAGCGCTTTTTTAATCTCTTCAATATTTGCACAATGATAGAGGTAAATTTTCTTCTTTTTTTTTTTTTTCATAGTATACGTAAGTGTAAGTGATTTTGATATATATTACTATTATTTTTTTTTTTTATTATTGTTATTCGATTTCAGATTTTATTGTGCAATGATAATTTATTTTCAACTGTTAACTTTTTTATTTTTTGATTAAAAAAAAAAAAAAAAAAATTCTAGACGAGTGAATTTTCACTCCGCGCATGATGATGAAAAAAATCACGAGAAACTTATCTTTGACCCTTCATATCTCATGCGATTGAGAATAAAATAACGGCTACTATCTCGCGTCATTTTTACGCCTAGATGCACTTTTCTATCTTTTTTCTTCTTCATAGTTTTTTCTTTTCTTTTTTTTTTCCAAGATAAAGTACATCCATCTCCCTTCACTCCATTCCCTTTTTCTTTCCTTCCCCCACCCCCTATTGTATATATTTATATATGTATAGTTAGATTACATGGTATACAAAAATATAAATACCAGAAATAAGATATCGATATATCATGATACAATGATGGTAAAAAGATTAACAACACTAGCAAAAAATGAAAAGAATAGCAATGGATGTGCAGAAAATGGGAGGAAACGATCATGAGATGCATGAAATAAAAGAAAAAGTTGGCATAACAGAGATATATATATATACTGTTTAATTGTATACGTCGAACGATGGGACGTCTTGTCGAAGGTACTGCGGAGATACACCTATCATAGGAAGTAAAGTTTTTATCGACCTGCGAAGTAATTTGTAAAACTAGGAATATTGTCGATAGAAAGAAAAAGGTATAAAATATTATCATTGTTGATGAATGTATATTTTTTCGGGATGAGCTCTCGTTTCACAGGCTTTTCGCAACGAGCGACTTGTAAATTTTTTTTCCCTCCTCCCCCCACCCCCTCTCCCTTCACTCTTGTACACTTCATGATGTCTCCCTTCTTATTACATATACATATTATATATATATAGTCTTTTTTTGTTGACTTGCGAGGTACGTTTAAACTTTATCAATGAATGTTATTTCTTATCGAATTTTGGACTAAAAGTGACGTTTATTATTATGTTATGTATAATTTGCGCGAGCTCAAAAGCATGGCGGCAAATGCGAATAGAAGAAAAATTGTTTTATAAAATCCATGTAGATAAATATTTAAGAAACGAGACGAGTTTTCGATTTAGCAAAATGACGATAATAAAATTGAGGAATCTGTAACTCAAGAGCTTGAGATTTTCGCGTAGATTCTCGTTGACATCGCCCGCACAGGGCCTTGTAGGGATATTATAATCAACTTGTAGTATATACCAAGAAAAATTGTTGAATTAAAAAAAAATATTCTACTCAATTAAATCACAGCGTACTTAGATCTAATATGCTTGTGCTAGATGAATTTATTGTTTGATAGATTTTTTGTTGTTAGACCGCGAAATTTCGGAGAAGAAACTTTTCGTTGTAACCACGATTGAATTAGTGCATTTCCCGAATTTGTTGATTTTGTTTTTTTTTTTTCTGTATACTTTTGCGCACTTACAGGGCCTACACGGTAAATATTTTGTAAGAATATGCAATGCAATGTGTAATAAATTGTACGTTAAATCAGCGAGTTTTCGTTCTTTTTTTATCATTGAATCATTTTCATGCTTTTATGCAAAATCATAAAATCAAATCAAGGATGATAAAGTGTATATACAGCAACTGTAAAAGTAGAGAAAAAAAAAGCATACGTTATCGACCACAAGCAGGTTGTTGATGTTTATAAGAGGTCATCTCTTAATCACTACGGACAAGAATCACGATTTAGCCTGTACTGATATTGGCAAAAATTTATTTCTTTTTGACATACAAATCTCAATATTTCGTGCATCAAATGTGTGCGTGTACTGTATGAAATAAGCTTTTGTCAAAAAAAAAAAAAAATACTTTTATAATACTCGTTCAGATTTAGACAGAAGCATCGACGCATAAATACGATACCACTTACTTGCATATAGCGTGATAGATACACTCTAAACATGTTGGTGATGGTTTTTTATTCCTTAACACGTACACATACACAAACGTTCATAAAAGTCTTCGAGTGCCCTATCCCGTGGATAAGTGATGATTTTTATCCTTATTTTTTATGCACACACAGCGAGTTGTGATGGTAACAATGTTTACAATTACGTATAATCAAATCTACGCCTCACTCCCTTACACATTTCTTAAGCTTCGTTTGTAATTTTTATTAATGTTATGGTAATACATAAGCTGTAGAGCATTGAAGGATAATAATGACTATAATATCGATTAATCAACAAAAAAAATCAGATCGAACTGAACCGTGTGTTGTAGATATGAACGAAAATTTCGTTGGCGTAAACGATCGCATGAGATAATAATAACTAATTGAAAACGAATCAGCTATTATTTTATACGCGCACGGATGGATGGAGGAAGAAGCGAGAATCTTTATAATATAAATATAATATATATTTTGTAGAAACAAACAAACAAACGAACAAAAAATAAGCACCACGACCTAAAGAAAGCTGGCTTCTTCTTTTTACTTCTGACCTAATTTTTTTTTTTCAATTTTTAGATTATTATTTTTGCTTGTGGTCGTTAAAAATGAGATTCGTCTGTCGATATGAGTTTCTCATGGGATGACGATGATTTTAGTCACGAGTTTTTCGATGACGTCCATTTGGAAATTAGTAAATTATTATTGTCATCAAGAAATCCGATTATTTACTCTTGCTACTTTTTACACACAAGTAGCTATTTTGTATCTTCATTTTATTTCGCTGGATCGCACTTTTCGTGGATCGCATTGATTTTTGTAATTGGAGAAGTTGACACCAAAAAATAAATCATCGAAGAAGAACAATAAGAAGAAGTTGTAATATTTTCGAGAACAGAGCAAACATAAAAAAAATAAGAACAAAGAAAAAAGTTATAAAAATTGTTAAATGTACGAAAGGTGCATACCCTATTTTTAATGAAAGTTGACGTGTGTGGATAAAAAAAAAGATGCTTATCACAAAATAATAAAACCGTGCGAAATCGTTTCCGGCGTTGAATTATTGTATCGATCGTTGGTGAAAAAGTAAGCAAATAGAAAAAAGCGTTCCTTGAGGCGATCCATGGATCGACTTGTTCTTTTTTGTTTCTTTCTTTCCTTTTTTTTATGTAAAACTTAAAATGTATAGTACGAGAAAAATGAACGATGACCATTATTATTACCATTAAATATTATTAGAATTATAGCGAGAGTGATTACAAAAATTGCAGAAGTAAATAAAAAAAAAAATAATAAAAAAAAAAAAAAAAATCAGCAAAATTTAGACGAGTAATGTAATACTAATCGTAGTGGCAGAGCTTCATTAGAGGATTAAGCAAATGATGTTTTATTAAAAAAGACGAAAAGCGTATAATATTAAGGGAATAAAGCAGCGCAATTCTTAAAAATACGAAAACCTAGATGAAGGACTAGGGAGGAAAAATATTAGGAAAAAAAACCTTGGACGCATAAAAAAGTAATAACTCACGTAGTAGCAATTAGACATTAGGAAAAATGTCGCTACTTCAGCTGGGATCGCTCAGCGTAGGTTTTTTTTTTTTTTTTTTTTAAATACAAAAATTATGGTCAAAAAGCGGTAAGCAAAACAAAGCGTCATGTAAAACAGGATATAACACAAAGCGCAACTCACGGCTGAATAAAGAACGGCTACACCTAACTGTAAAACATTTCGAGAAATATATGTATTTGTTATTGTTTTAATTGACATTTAGTACTTCTCATTCATTTCGAAACCTACCAAAGTCATAAAATGTACCTAAACTCGCAGATTCCAAGGTAAGTACACATTATTTTATTGCGTCTAGAACCAGTTGTATCTTTGGAGCTGATGTGTTTCCTAGTTGCTATAGCTTTAACCAATTGAATAAAGTATACACCACTTTTTGATTGATTGATTCATAATAATATTAGATTTAATTTTTGTTTCACGAATAATTTCTTATAAATTATTGAATCGAGTAATTTCCCATCAATTTTATCAAATATTTAAAAAATCAGCGTTTTTGAATTTGTTTGGCTGCGATAAATCATTTAACGGGACAGTCCATGTGCAACAGACGGCTTGATCAATCCTTCATACATATGCGTGTGTCTGGTTGCCTTGTATACGCGGATAAAACCAGGTATAATGTTTTCAAACCTAAATATTAGATGTATATTCATCGTTAAGTCAATAATTTATAGTCAAAAAGTTTTATGATTAACATGAAAAATTCATTTTGCATTTATTGTTATAAACCATGTCTTAAAAGTATGTCACGGTTTACCATATTTCACGCCAATTTTTTTACTCACAGTAAGTATACATAAAGTATAAGCACATACATTAATATATTACCTGTACTTAATAAGAATAAATATATTTATACATCAATGTCAGAAATTTTGCAAAAAAGATATTTTCGGGATGCAGAAGTAAATTAAAATTTTTGTGAGAAACAGCTTTGGAAAAACTTTTCTTTATTGTACTTTGAAAAGCCACATCCTACTTTGGTTCTTGAGTTAAAATTCGCTAAAGTTTCAAAAAACGGCATCCCTGCCAATTTTCTGAGTGTATCAGCAAAATCGTAGCTCTTTGTACGAGGCTTACCATGGATTTACTTTTGTAAATAATCAAAACGTCTTTTTTTGTTGGGTGAACAATATTTATTTATTTTTCTAGTCACGTATAAACAATTCTGTGATTGAACAAATTGCCGATGTAATTGGAGAACATCTTCCTTCAAGATCGACTGGAGAAAAGTTTGTCACGATTACGAGGAAAAAAAGGTGAAGAGTGAAAAAGCAGTTTTGACGAACTTGATAAAAAATAAAGGGTATAAATGTTTGTCACAAAAATAAAAAATGTAATTTTCAATATACATATTATTATTATTATTATTATTATTATTATACCTTCATGAAGGTTTCCATATCTAAATGCAGTAAATATGCTGCAGTCAATTGACAAGGTCTTAAACTTTGTATCGACATCATACGTATGAGTATAACTGATCTCTTCGGCATGTAGTACCATGGCATACTGTAACTGAAATATTATTTAAATTAAGATTCATCATCTGAGGTTTTAGTTAAATTTTTATCAAAAATTTGCCGTAAAAATTTTATACCAAGCCTCGAATAACCAAACACTGTTGTCAATAACTTTTTGACCAGGATAAAATATAAAGTACAACTGTCCCCAAAACGTAACAAATGCTATACTTATTCTTGCCATTTTAAGTACATTATTATCGTTAATACTGTTCAACACCTACGAAATAAATCTTAAATAAATACATCGTAAATTGTTTTAGTGTTGTTTTTCGTGTTTTGAAAATTACGACTAAAAGTCCGCCTCCTATGCTGAGGGTGATCGACAGAGTATTAAATAACCACGTAAGACCGTAGATTTTATCTATAATCTTGATCCTTCTGAAATTAATTGATGATAAATTTCGTCAGTCTTGTCCACTTTGACACTAGTAACTGATAATTAACGACCATTACTAAATAAATTGTGCGTACATCATCGCCATATTATGCAATTCAATTGCTTCTACAACCAATTTGTCGATGTCTTTTCCGATCGTTTGATAAGTTTCACGACCTTCTTCGATTCTTTTTATCAATTTCGTAGCTCTTACCAACCGCATCCTTCGCACACAATACGACCAGTGAATATTATTTTTTTAATACTATAGGTACTTATAAATCTAATGACTGAAACTTGGTGAACATAACGGATTCCTTTGACTAATATAAGTTGGAACTGTCGAATAGATTTAAAAAAAAAAATTTTTTTTATCGTCACAAAATTTGTGGCATAAGGATTTCAGAAAATAAAAAACCAGAAGTTTGTGCTTAATTATTCGATCTGGTGATCTGACTTTGAAGTTATTTTGTGTAGATTACCTTAGTCACTCAATGATTAGAATAACCACCAGATAACTGAAATAGGTTTGTATTCTGTATGAAATATACGAACGAATATAATATTTTTATAAACTTGCTACTTGTTGTTATCCATTTGCATTTATTTTTTTATTTTATTTATTAATTGAGCAAACATAAAAAAAATAAGAACAAANTTTTACTAACAAAGATAAACATTTCATCGGAGATACGGTGTGCATCCCCAGATACGAAAACTACTATATCCCATGGATGTATCATCTGTAACGGCTATTTGTTGATTCTTAAGGTAAACATGGGTAATACATTGAAAACATATTATTGGCTTACTTTAATTCGCCCGTGTACATTACCCCAAACAGATATTGACTAAGTGGTTACTCAATATTCCTCCAATATACATATATTTGCCCGTAATTACGAGTACTTTTCTGGTTTTTATATCGTCATAATGCACCATCAATTCAAATCACGTGCATATAAACGCATTCCACAAGTAAAATTCTCAAGATTAACACTCACCTGATGATAACGTACAAACAACAGACGTGATCTACTGTCATGCAATACGAAAAGTCATGGGCAATAATAACTGCCACTCCCCAAAGACAGCCTAAAGATGAGTACACCATTAAAGGGTAGAAATATTTGTCCTGATCGATAAAGAGCTCAACTTTGTAGGGTAGTTCTTTTTTGACCGTTACGTTCGTGAAGAAATCCGCGTAGAGCATTTCGACCATAGGAAACACCATGTACATTGACGATGCGGAGAAAATAAAAGCTGAACACCGATGCAAACAGAAAATTAAATCATGTTACGTGTGTACGTGTCCAAAAGTATGAGTATATTGAGAAAAAAATGTATCCTTTAACGATCCTCACACATGTAGATGAAAAAAAATCGATACGTCGATTTGGCTCTTTCGACCAAAAAGCTTCTTTCTTCTTTGATCATTATCCTACTCCAATCAAATATTATATGGTCGTAGAGTTGTAGTCTCTAGAAAAAAAAGCATATTTTTTACATTGTTGTGCTCATGTACGGTTTTCATCTTGAAAACGATTGCTCCATTTTATCGTACTTACCCTGTCCTCGTAAATGGACGGACTAATAAGTCTTAAGCACGTGGTGACGTACAACAAATCAGTAACCAAGCACTCAACGGCAAGGTCAACCGTATGGATTTCCATAAAAAATCTTACCATCTGTGAATTGTACGTGATAAATGTAAACATTGAATTTGTAGCTTTTCTTTAAAATTTCATTCGATGAAAAAGGTAATTTACCCCTGCAACAAAACCTACTGTACACATGATCATAACGGCTCCCCTTAACAACAGTTTTACAGTTTTTCTGTGATACGGCCATAGACCAACTTTTTCTTCCCAAAAGGCCAATTGTTGCCAATGGTAGTTTGTAAACAAGTGAGGCCTAAAAATTTGACAAGAAGCATTAGATTCAAGCAAAACAACAATAAATGGAACAGTAGGAGCTCGGTTGATTCCGAGGCCGACTCTGCACCTCACATCAGGGCAACCCTGAAGGCTAGACTCCGTCACTCCACGTAGGCTTTCTAGGTGTGGGAAAAGGGACAGTTTAGAAGGTCGCGGTAAGGGTGAAAAGAGGGGTTCAGAAGGATTCGTTAGGGAAATTGGAACATTACTATGGTAGAGGATGCCCGTAAAAATCATCCAAGTGGTGTAAGGGTTGGAAAAAAAAAACATTAAAATGTCTAAGAAATACTTACATTATGCTTGTTCCTCGCGATAATTAAAATTAAATAGATTACTTTGGTTTTTGTTCTTGCACAGGTACCTATGCATATATTGTTTCTTATTTTTACAAGTATTGATCATTTAGCTTATTTAGCTTTGTCGCATATAGTATTGTTAGTAATAAACGGTACATCTAATGTATATATCTCCTCTGCTCGACATTATGTTCCTAAAAAAAGAAAGCCATTAATTTGGTGGAATATCCTTGAGTCATTCAGTGTGCTTATCTTGAAAATTGAATCATAATTTCAAAGGGTGTACGTATGCACTTTATACGAATTATGATTTTTATAAAAATGTTCGTAATATTTTTCATGCGTTGAACGTAAAAAATTTTCGTTAAATTATTTAATTCTTGTATTGTAATTTAATCATACAAAATATTTTTAATGTTACAAAGCAAGAGTGTTATTTTTATTTACTATAATCCACTGTATAATTAAGAAAACGAAACATGGGATATTTTGTTCTTTGTCTTAAAATTAAACCAAAACCAAGGAGTACGATACTTGATATCATAATTTTATCACAAGCAAGTTTATGAATCCGAATTCTAGATATTACCAGTGTTACTAAAAATCATTCTAAATGTACAGTAATTAAGTTTTCTTACTTACAAATTATTATTTTTCAGTCCTAAAACACAATATGTTACAAAGAGGTTGATCGTTATTTTTGGTGTACAAACAGGCAAAATATTTTTTATTACATTAACCGAAAAACCATGGACTATTCAATTGAAGGATCAAAACTACTGTAGAACGACCGCAGAAGGTTGGGACTCGAAGGTAATGATTTTTTTTTTATACGTGAAAAAAAAACCTGTGTCCTATACATTTTTCATTTCGCAGTGGTTTACTTATTCAAGTCTTTAGCGCATGCTATTTTCTTCAAAAAAATATGTGCATCAATGATTCACAGGTTTATAAGAGAAAAAGTAATTAAAGCTACGCGCCAGCTGTCTAGCGTCAATTTTTAATCTCCTTAACCTCACTGTGAACAATGCTTTTTTTGCAAAATCAAGTCATTCACGAGCAATTATCTATACAGTTTATTGTTTTCAAGTACTAAGCGTGAATGAGGGGGTGCCCTTTGCTAGTTATTATTTCACGCGTATCCACAAAAGGAGAAAAAAAATCAATTGGCTTTATTTTAGCCTATTGAGCCAGCCCATGGAAGCATTTTTATTTCATGCTGCGAGGAAAAAACGATTATACATGAAACAAAGGTGACTCTGAGAAATAAAAAATAAAAATGAAATATGATGGAAATTTTTATTCGCTATTACCTTTCTATTATAACTTAGATTTTTCCATTTAAAATAAAATTGAAAAATGTGGGTTCTGTTGACGGTTGTCAAAAAACGTCATGATAGTCTTACATTTTTGTATTTTTTTTTTTTTTTTTTTTTTTCAATTCAAATGATTTTTATTTTATTTTATGCATAAGCGCTTTACTTTAATATTACAATGCCCTATACATAACATTTACGTAATTTGTTTTACACGCAATTCTATACACTGTAAATTTTTAAAATATAAGGGACACTCCCTTAGAAAATTTATTGTGCCAAGCAAAATGAACGAGGCTCGAAAATAATTTTCCTACGAGACCGAAATCACGTATTTTTCGTTCAAAAATTGAATCCTTTTGTTTCCGACCTACTCATCCAATAATTTTTTTTTGCAGAATCCCTCGTATGGATGTATGTATAATTTTAAAGCGAGAAAGAGATGGGAGACAGAAGGAAGAGGAAATGGCAAATGCATCCACACTCACAGAGGTAAAAATCGCTGACGAGCCAGTACACACACGAACGGCCAATCGGGCACGACACACATACAGTCGCGTACAGTGTTATAAGAGTCTCGGCGATCGCGCGGTCCGCCTCAGTAACGGTGAAATTTTCGCGCGACTTCGAGACTCTGTCCTGCTGCTCTTCTTCTTCTTCTCGCGTACGTGCTGCACCCATACCGATCTCAACCGATTTTCCGTGGCGCGTCTCGTTTTCCAAGATCAAAGTCATAAAAATTGGAGGAACGGAATGGGGCTGCTGCTGAAAATGATGGCCCTTGGGATAGCCGTCGTGGCGGGCACCGCGATGTACTTCAAACCCACGGCACAGCTGCCACCGCAATTGCAGGACGTTTACTGGGGACCAGGCGACGAACCCAGTCAGCCGGACGAGAGCGTGCGACCCTTCAAAATCAGCTTTTCCAAGGAGGTGAGACCTTTTTCCTTTTTCAATTTCCAACCGCTTGGAAACGTTATTACGAAAAAAATTGTCGCACAAATAAACCGATCCTCTCGAAATGGAGATAAAATCGACTTCACAAAGTATCTTTTCTTTGTATGGTATTGCACTTGGCATTTGATTCATTCGTTTATTGTGTTACGAAAAGAAATCGATCTGTTTACGTTTGGTATGAATGTCCTACACGTGTACCCAAGCTGATGACAACGTCGATTTACTCGGTAGATCTTTTCTTATTGTAAATGTATCGCATGTAGTAAAGGCAACAAGTTCAAAAACACCTGAAAAAAAATAAAGGTCGTTCCGTTGGAAAAAAACGTCTCATCAATTTTACCATACGCGCGCGTAAAATAACAATTAGCGGTGAGCGACCAAAAAAAAAAAAACGTCCTTCCACAATGAAGCGTATGCTAGAGCAACACAAAGGCAATGGGGCCTCGCACGTGTTAAAGTAACCACATACTACGAACGAGACAAACATGTCTTTCATACAACACGTCCCATTGCTGCAGATGATAGACGATCTGCGGCAGCGTTTGAAAAACACTCGCAAACTGCAGCCGCCGTTGGAGGACGTGGGCTGGACGTACGGTACGAGCGGCGAGTATGTGTCCACTGTCGTCGAGCATTGGCTCAACAAGTACGACTTCAAGAAACGTGAAGCGCTTCTCAATCGTCACCCCCAATTTGTAACCAACGTCCAAGGTATGTATCTTGCTTTTCGAACTCTGTTACGCAACCATACCGATTTTTTCAATTTAATCTTGATAAAATCGGTAGCGATATTTCGGTCGTCTTTCGTTTCACGAGTGCATCGAGGATACGCGTGGATCGATGCCTGCGCTTAACGGTTTTGGTTCCTTCATGTACTCACAAGCGCGCACGTGAGTATATGGACACAGCCTGTGTTTGCTACGTCACAACCACGAGTTGTCTCGGAAAAATCGTTTGTGACCTACCAAATTCTCGAAGCCAAGATTTTTCTCGAACCTACGATGTGGCACTCGAATGAATTTGCGAGGAGGAAAAACCAAATAATCGATACAATGATAAAATCGTTTAGCTCAATGTATCTTCTCATCGTTCCAACAGGTCTCGACGTGCACTTTATCCACGCGAAGCCCCAGCCGGCAAGGGGCCGCAAAATCGAGACGATACCGCTGTTGTTGTTGCACGGGTGGCCGGGCTCGGTCGTCGAGTTCCAGAAGATCATCCCGATGCTGACGACCGTTAGGTCGGACGAGGACTTTGTGTTCGAGGTCGTGGCGCCTTCCCTGCCCGGCTTTGGTTACTCGGACGCAGCTGCCAAGGCCGGCCTCGGCGCCGTCGAAATGGCCCACCTACTCAAGAACCTCATGCTCAGGCTCGGCTTCGAGCAGTTTTACGTCCAAGGCGGCGACTGGGGCGCCATATTAACAGCCAATCTCGCCTCGATGTATCCCCAACAGTGAGTACTTTGAATACATTTGATGGGGAAAAAAAAAAAAAAAAAAAATCAGCTGCAAGGGTGAAAGAACTCGTTAATACCGCAGCGTGCTGGGAATGCACTCGAACATGTGCGGGAGTCTGTCCCCGTGGACTTGGCTGAGGATAGCGGCTTACGGGCTGGTGCCTTCGTTACTGCCGGAGGACGAGCGCCAGATGATGTACCCGCTGAGCAAGGTGTTGTCGCAGTGGCTGGAGGAGACCGGTTACCTACACGAGCAGGCCACCAAACCCGACACACTCGGTATATACCGTACATACATGACACATTATTCGTGCTTGGGCTGATGGCTTTTTTTTTTTCTTCGTTTCGTCGGGAGAGCTTCTGTATGATTTACACTTATATTCTTCTGCTGCTTCGATAACTGCAACTCTGTATTGCGTTTTGCGCGAGTGTAGTTTTTCGTTTTTTCGAGCGTATACGTGTAGATATAATATCAAATTGTACGCTGATAAATACTTAACAAAGTTTATTTTTTCGACTGCTGTGGAACTTTAATTGTACAACTATTAACTGTTTAGCGCGTCAATCAATTTTTGAGTTCAATGGGATTGTTGTCTGAATATTTTGCATATTGTACCTTTGCATTAAAATGGTATCATTAAATCAAATTTTTTATTACGTCACGTTGAAAATTGACATTTTGCAGAGGTGGATTTGAGATAAAGTTTGTAGATTTGTTTGATATCGGAGAAAGTTAAATATTGATTCCAAATCGCTAAAATGGTTTCTGTCAATAAGAAAAAGAAATTTACACTCCACATTGTAAGGGTGTACTTACGTGCAATATGGTTACAACAAAGAGACACGTACAAATGTTATGAATCTAAAAAAAAAAAAGTACAGATTTTTCTGAGATAACAATAGGTATGAATCAATTGGAATCATCATGTGTTTTCTGTAAGCTTATTTTAAACACAAAAGAGTTACGTATCCTGATGCACGTGAAAAAAATGTTTCAACTAAACTACTTAGGGGTCGGAGTGAGCGACTCGCCGGCAGGTTTGGCTGCCTACATCCTGGAAAAGTTCTCGACCGCGACCAAGTACGAAAACAAGTTCCGAGACGACGGTAACTTGCTCGAAAAATTCACGATGGACGAGCTACTGGACAACGTAATGCTCTACTGGGCGCCGAACAAGGCCACGAGCTCGTTCCGCATCTACGCCGAGACGTTCAACAAACACGGCTTCGGGTACAAAATGGACAGGCGAGTGTTTGCTCAGAGTATATATTTATAACATCTACATAAATGTACCCGGTGTAATTATGGTGGTCCAACAGCGTTCCGGTGACCGTGGCATCGGCCTGCGCGCAATTCCCCAACGAGATAATATTCCAGTCGGCGACTTTCCTGCGCGACCGCTTCGCCAACCTGGTTCGCGTGACGAGGATGCCGCGAGGCGGTCACTTTGCGGCCCTCGAGGAGCCCCAGCTGCTGGCCGATGACATTTGGGCGTCGGTGCGCGAGATGCGCGACTCGAAGACGGACCAACGGAAGAAGAAGGGATCGTGAAACGCGGTCGTATGGGCCATTTCGAGGGAGATTTCGCTCACTTGACCTTGATTTTCATGGAAAACAGGTTCAACCGCCCATGTCATTTTTATTGATTGTGGACCAAAAGAAAGAAATAAATACCAGTACGAGTACATAATATTATTTGTGTTGGTTGTACTTGAGAGAGGGAAGTTTTATTTTTGCAATGTAAGCACGGGATATACCGTCAATTAAAAGATTTTCCAGCAATCAGTCAAAGACCTTGAACGGCAATCTAAGCTACTAAAACTGCCCGTCATCCAATGAGCGCGGCGAATCACGTAATGGCCATTTTTACCGACGCGCCGACTCTTTTTTTTTTTTTTTTCTTTTTCAAGACACCGCGGCACCTTTATCTCGGTTTTGCGTGCAAATTGCCGGGGAGAGCGTAATTTCGCGCGTTGCATCAAAAGTAACGACAAGAAAGATACTATGCATATGCATGTGTATACCTACCCTCGGGGGCTCTTTCTCCCCCTCACCCGCGATGTTGTAATAATAAACTTGCCGAGTTCATTAAGCTCCTAATGGGACGGGAAAATTACCCAACTATTAACACAAACACGGGTGCGTTCGTACATTAACGCGGGCTGGAGTAGAAAGTGGGAGGGAGGGGTTGGTAAACAAATAAACACCATAGGCTGTTGCCGCTGCAAACATATATGCACGAGGCAAGCTTTCGTTTCGGGGCATTTCAACTCTATAAGTATATTGTGTGCTCGAATATACTTAAAATCGAATCACAATCGGCTTGTATATTACCTATATCGAAGGGGGGGGGCACCATATATTACCCGTGAAGTAATAATCGTTATAAATAAAAAACAAGAGAGCACGTGTGAGCCGTACATGCGAGTTTGCCGCCGCGAATTTTACTCAACGGGGCTCTGATCGGGTCGTCGAGAGCTCGATGGGAAAGGAAATAATAAACACCGGGAACTCGTGGAAGGGGGGTGGGGAGGGGAAAAAAAGGAAGCTATCGAATGTCGATTGCCACCAGCGGTTCTCTCGTATCAATGAGCGCTTAATTAGTGTTTCGGTTTATTGCACCTCGACGAAACTTGGAAGCTTACGCCACACGGGCCGTTCCGTCGAAGTTTTGCAACGGCCGATACAAATTAATGAAAAAGTTGCGAGATACACTTGCGATAACGTTGCCGTCGCAGTGCACTGTCTAAAAGAGAAGCCAAATCATTTTTTTTTTTTTTTTTTTTTTTTCATTCGAAAAATGTTCCTTTCGCGACGTGACCTGCCAGTACGTTCCACCGGAATGGCCCATGTATACACACAAAGTGCCAAACGCCGTCTATCGATCCAATATCCCTGCTCTGTGCCCCTGTAAATGTTTAATTCGTCAACAATGGAGGAATATCAGGGGGGGGGGGGGAAATTAACTCTCGTGGCGCGTTAACTTCCCCTTCGCTCTCGTTTTTTCCAGAAATCCATTCGCGTTCATTGTCCGTCGTCATCGGGATTCGAATAAACTAATCACATCACGAGTACGTTTTAAAACCGCCGCTGACCGGGGGAATCGGTTTAAAATGAAAATAATAATCGATTCGCGCATTGTTTCGACCGTCCGGTGCTACGAAACGAATATACATGTACCCATGTAGAATCGAAAAGAAAAAAACAAAAACAAAGGGAACGTACGTATGTGTTAAACGCACACATCTGAGGTATTACACATGTATGGGCGTAATTGCGGAAGGCCAAGTCGGTAATGAGGCGAACGCAGGGCACGGAGTTTTGTTCTCTTTTTCATTTTACGCAGTGTCATGCCGGCGTAGCGCAGGTTTTTTTTTTCAATAGATACAAGCGCGCAAGCTCCACTCTCTCTGCTTTGAAAGAAGAGGAAATATCTAGGCGTTCATCTCGCTCGGCCCATACACCGTCAAGACCGTCAAATGGGCTTCTCTCGAATCTATGCGCTCACGAAGAGTCGGAGGTGGTGGGGGAGAAAAAAAAAAAAAAAAAAAAACAGGAATGACGAGGGGAGCCCACTCGGTTCGTCTTCGAATGATGTTCACGCCAGCATGTAAAAGAGATGGAGAAAAAGAACGACTTTTCTATAGGTGCTCATGTAGGTACATCCATCCACCGCGTATAATACATATAAGTACTTCCATGCTTATCTATGTACGGAGTTTTGCTCCTGTGTGTATGTGGAAGCAGACGCGCACACCACCCACCAACTGTCGGAAGGGGCATGACGGGTATAGGTGTATATTTATGTTTGTGCGCTCGCTCCTATCCAGCCGGTTCTGCGTCTGGCTGTTCAGTCGCGGCTGGCACGTCGAGCTGGTAACTCGTAGTAGCCAAGTAGAGAGTGTTTTCATCAGTAGGTGCCGGGCCAACGAAACTCGCGCCTTATATTTTCAATTTATACATTTTACAACTAATAGTGCATGAGGTTTTTATTTGCACACCGGACTCCGATTTTTATGCTATTGTACAAATACTAGTGGAAGAAAAAAAAAAAAATAAAAAAATAAAAAAAAAAAAAAAAAANACACGTATAAAAATATTCTCCACGCCAACAGTGGAGATAAAAACAGACCAAGTAGAAACGTCTAGTGGAAGAAAAAAAAAAAAAAAAAAAAAAAAAAAACATAAAATGCTCAAGGCAGCGGCTGTTTTTCTTCTGGCCGTGTTGGCTATTGGCTGGCATTTAAGGTACGTTGTTTTTTTTTCTGCCTCTCGATATGCAAAAGTTTTCCTGTTTTTGCTACCACTTGAGTGTAGATATATAAGTACGTAGATAACAAGTGAGCGTACGTGACCGAGAACTTGGGCCTTGGGGAGCAGTTGGTGTACGTGTACTTAGCCAATACAGCTGTGGTACCGAAAAATTACTCCAAGATTTAAAAATAGAATGTTTCATCCGTTTGAAAACACATCCAGAATTTTATTGCTCCTACAACGGGGGGGAAAGGAGATTTTGCTATTGCTATTGTTAAGTTGTAAGATGATTATGTGGTTGAGAGTCGATTTAAGCTTAATAACTGAGGGAGATATTTGAGAATTCACTGGTAAACATACAAATATAAACGGGTAGGGTGAAATTTTGTTGGTACAAACACGTAATAGGAGGTACAAATCCACGGGCGCGCTCTAGATTTATCGCGCAATATCGCAAAGATGCACGGGGGCAAATATAAAAATGTCGCGCATAGAGGGGGGGGGGGGGCGCGCAATTTTCAAAGTGCCGTAATTTTAACGGTGAGATGTATATGGAACGCTGCCCGGGGGAGAGAAAAGACGCGATCTCGCACACGTTACGTATGCACGTGCATACGCGTAAACGTGGGTGCATCCAAACTATGTGTACTAATGCCACGGGGATGTTTGCGCCGATACAGCGACGTCGACATTAAAAGGCGTATACACGCGACAGTCGAAACAAAAGGAGGCATGGGGTAAAAAGCTCCCGATTTAAACGTCAATTACTCTCAGCGAGCTCCAAACTTAAAAGCTTTCGATTTTTTTGGCTCTCCTTTTTTTTTTTTCTTCTTTCCTGCTTGCTTTAATTTTCACCTCACTTTCAGCTCGCGCCGGAGCTCATGAAAGTATCAGCGAGAGCCAGAGTTTGCACTTTTTTTTTTTCTTTAATACGTTCTTTCCCCATCGCGCGTTCCAAGTTTAATGCACATCAAGCTATGCATAATTATAACAATAATAATGAAGTAGATGATGATGATGATAACAACAAGGGGGCAAACGCGCGCTCTCGGGACGCCATGAGCTTTTCCGGCTCAGCCGAAATCAAATCACTTAGCTAAAAAGCTTTCAAGAGTGCTAGCCCCCCTTTACCGACCTCCTCCTCCTCCTCCTCCTCTTGACTTTCATCGTATTTTTCGCCCCAATAAAATTATCCGCGTCTCACGCGTGCCTCACCTAAAAAAATACTACTCGGTTACAACGTCAACCTCGCAGTCGATAGATAAGATAACATTTGATTCGCTCGTGTAGGCGCGTAGCCGATGGTATCGGAAAAAAAAAAAAATTAGTGAGTACAAGTACACCTGATGTATTGTGCTCCATTGTAGGCGGTGAACTCGCGAGGCAGGTGGTGTTATTGTTAGCGCGAGTTAGCAGCCGTTCGGTCGAGTTTGTATAACTTATCTCCGGTCCTCGGATAACATCGTATATACCTTCTCACCGCGAACGTTTGCTCGGCGCAATGAAAATGCCGATAATGTCGTCCCACCCTTTGTATAACTACACGTAGCACTTATATGATATGTGCACGGGACAAAATTGTACGAAAATTCAATTGCCTCGAGCGAATAAATCAATGGGGTGGTTGCAATTTGTTGGAAATTAGCCGGGGCCTTTCCCCCGGCAGCGATGCCCAAAACTTTAATTGAGACAATATTATCGCCTCCCTTTCGCGCTTACGTGCATATGTGGGTGTAAGCAGGTGCGGCGTCGCGTGTATACTAATTAAAACTTGGTCGCGATATTCGCAACTGCGGTACGAATATTACGATTTAATTTTAGGTATATCTCCCCTGTATCTCCTCGCAGTGTGTATTTACGTATATACCCTACAAGCTCGTTTGGACCTGAAAAAGTCGGCAACGATTAGAGAGTCCCATCAAACATTTAATGCGCTCTCGAGCGACACTCCGCGCTAAAATCGTAAAGTATGTATGTAAAAGTGCAAGTATGAAATATATATGCACACCGGAGGGAAATTTTGCACCCCTAATGGATTTTGAAAAGAAATAAAAATTATTTTTTACTACATAGGTGAGGATGAAAACTAATTAAAAGTATATAATGTATTCAAGTGAACGCGAAATCGTTCAGAGCGCGAAAATTAGCTCGCAGTATTTTTGAAACTTGTTTCTTCCTTTGTTGATTGAATCAAACGAGCTGTTGGAGGTACGAAAAAAAAAAAAAAAAAAGATCGTTGAAAATCGGCGTGGCCCTAGGGTGGCCTGCAGTGTTGCGATTGTACTCTCCTAACAATAGAGCAGGACAATAACGAAACACGTTTGTTGCCACGATCGTCCGGAATAAAGGGCTCCCCATGAGCCGCGTTTCCAACAAATACCGCACATTCCGCGTCTGCCTTTCGTTCCCATTTTTTTTTTTTTTTTTTTTTTTTTTTTTTTTTTTTTTTTTTTTTTTTTTTTTCATCTTACGTATATAGGGAACAAAGTTTTTTTTTCTCCTCCCCGACACCCAAAGCGTTCAATTAATACGCGGCAATCACTGGATTAACGGAAAAACAACAAATACATCGATTCCCGACAAGTCAAAATGTGTTTGTTTTCTACACTTTTACTGATAATTATTAAGACAGTTTGATGAAAAAACAAAAAATAACGCAACGTACGACGATAGCGACAAACAAAACATGTTGGCGTTGCAAATCAAAAGTGTGACGCAAGGCAATGTATGTTGTTTTTTTAGATATCAAGGGTCATCGGAGGTGCCGAAGCTGACGGATGTGTACTGGGGCCCGGGCAAGCCGGTAACCGATCCCAAAGACGTTAAACCATTCAAAATCGACGTTTCCAAAAAGGTACACTCGTGCCATATTTCACCACCTCATGCATATTTACCACACATGTATAATTATACATATATACGCTGCACAGCTCACCGCGCATTGAATGTATACCTATATTATCTTTAAATATTATACATTGGAGGAGGGGGGGAGGCGGGTTGAATTATACGAGGGACCATTTGTTTGAATTTGCATGTATTTTGCGGACTCCCGCCCGAGTACGGGTGCGTACATTCACATTGTAATCGGCCAAAGTAAAATTTAGCGGCTCCGCGTGACCGTATCTCTCTCTCTCTCTCTTTTGCATTTTCGCGACGCAACTGGGCGTTAAATATTTCTCTTTCGTTTCCATTGCCGATTTATTGGTATAAGGAACGAGCTTGTCCGCGATAATGTTGAAAATTAGGGGTAACGCGATTAAATGCCCAGGTGATAGACGACCTGAACGATCGGCTGGACAAGACGCGATGGCCGGCCGAGCCTTTGGAAGGCGCAGCCTGGACGTACGGCATCTCCTCGACATACCTGAAAACCGTACTCAAGTACTGGAGACACGACTACGACTGGAGCAAGCGCCAGGCTCTGCTCAACAGGTACCCACAGTTCATCACGAAGATTCAAGGTGAGCGCCCTTTTTTTTTTTATCACGAGAAATATCGACGAAAGCCCGCTTCGATGGACTCGAGTTTTGATTTACGGTCGTGATTTATCCGCATGCCTTCCGAAGAAATAAAAGCGAGCCGAGGGGGCTTCGTATCTAACGGCTGTGAGGCTCTTTTTAGCAGTGCTCATTGTCAGTCTTTCGTATCGCTGGATACGTACAAAAAAACGACGCATCGATCGATATTACTTTTCTTTCATTGTTTTTTTTTTTTTTTTTACAATATTTTACGCGATAAGTCGAGCTGACGGGAGTCACGAGAGAGCAGGGATCGATATTACACCCACCGGGGAAAAGTCAACACGTACACGCGCTATCATCATCGTACTTTATTTACCTTTTTTTTTTTTTTTTTTTTTCTTTCTTTTCGATTTACCATCGTCGCTGGAAAAATGTGAAATATTAAAGTCCTCGCTGTGTAAGTAATATCCGACCCGTACGGACGCGATGGTTGAAAAATCTCGCAATAACGGAGATGACGACGATGCCGGTGTATATAAATATACGGGTGCGATAACACGAGGACGCCCGAGCGAAGAATGCAATATAAGCCCAAACGGCGAAAGCATCTGGAGGGGGGGGGGGGGTAACGTAATGTCGAAAATTCCATCGGTATGGATTTATATTTTTCAGATGAGAAAGAGAGAAAAAAAGAAAAAAAATAGTATCAGCATCATCGGCTACGAATAGGGCAGTGGTGCGTGTACATCAAACTGTAAATGCCTCGACCGGAATGTACATTCAGCGATCGATCGGCCATGTAGCTAGCTCTATCCCTCTTGTGCACAGCAGCATAGCAAAATACTTGATAGGGTAATAAGATGCAGGCCCCTGCGCATTCAAATTAAAATTGAATCGGCCGAAAGCTGCTGCGGCGCGCGGGGAAGACTGTGGCCGTTTCGCCCCCTCCGGGCGATCGATCGGCAGAGTAGTTATTCGATTTGAATTTTAAGGATCGCCGTCGCTCCCCGTCAATGGATAAAAAACCCCCGGTAGCTGTGCATTGGAGCTTTTATTCCTCCATTGGGAAACGAAGAGACGAAAAAAGGATGTGCTTGTAGGGCTACCACCCCACGCGGATCGACGATTTTTTGCGAAAATTCACCAACAATGAATCAAATCTACGAGTTGAAAGATTATACCTATTACCTCATTCGTATCACTTGTGTGTGAAGGGACCATTTAGAATAACGTAATGACACCAGTGGTGTGACGAGGTCGCGTGATTTGTTGTGTCGCAGGTCTCGACGTGCACTTTTACCACGTGAAGCCAACGCTGCCAAAGGAGCGCAAAGTGCGCGTACTGCCAATGCTGCTCCTGCACGGGTGGCCGGGCTCGGTCGTCGAGTTCCAGAAGATCATCCCGATGCTGACGACCGTTAGGTCGGACGAGGACTTTGTGTTCGAGGTCGTGGTGCCTTCCCTGCCCGGCTACGGTTTCTCAACGGCCGCCGCTAAGCCCGGCTTAGGCACGCCACAGGTGATGACGACGCTTCCTCTCGTTTATTCTCATATACGTACTTTGAGGTTTTTAGAGCGGAACTCACGCGCCCGCTTTCCGTGCATGTATTCCAGCTGCAGAGGGTATATATATATATTATACGAGAGAGAAAGTTTCTACGCGTTCGCGGCTGGATTTGTCGGTCGTTTGATGGATTTTCCGGAAAAATAATGCAACGCGTGCCCGATTGCCGAGAGATCGACTTTTATCTCCCAGCCATGTCCCACTTATATTAACGCGTTCCGATGATAATTATGTACATGGCCGGGCTTTCTCGCGTTAACCGATTTTTTACCTTTACCGTACAATATGTAATTTATGCGATCGGCGTTTCACCCGTAGATGGCCGTGATGTTTAAAAATTTGATGAAGAGACTGGGCTTCGAGAGGTTCTACCTGCAAGGCGGTGATTGGGGCGCGGCCATAGTCTCGCACATCTCCGCCCTGTTTCCCGAAAGGTATACATGCATATTATAACGCTCACGCGTGGGAACTCATTTTTGACGAAAGATGGAAACAAAATAAAATAATAATTTTCACGATCGATCGATTGTTTGTCGTATGAACGCCCAGCGTCATAGGGACGCACTCTAACTTGTGCATCGTCAACAACTTCAAGGCCCACCTGTTGACCTTCGTCGGGGCCTACGTTCCCTCGTTGGTGGTCGATAGCGAACACTACTCGAAGATGTACCCCCTGTCCCACTACATGAGCCGGATCGTCGAGGAGTCCGGCTACTTCCATCTGCAAGCCACCAAGCCAGATACCGTTGGTCAGTATATATACTTTTTTTTTCACACAACTCTTTCGGATTGCACGGTTTTTGCAACTTTCCTCTCTTCATCTGCATCACACGCGATGAATGGTATACAGGAGCGAGTCTTTTTTTTTCTTTTTAAATCGTCCTTGAGATGAATAAAAGCTAAAAATAATCGTCCATGCCAAATGGTGACATCAGCATAATAAGATGCAGTTGTGTATCATCACGGCATTACCTCGTAATCATATATTGATACACACAAATAGTGGTGTAAGCGATGATGATGCGTGACTCCATGTACGTGATTGCAAACAGGGGCAGCCTTGACGGACTCGCCGGCGGGATTGGCGGCGTACATCCTCGAAAAGTTCAGCACGTGGACGAACTCGGATTACAGGTTCCGGGAGGACGGCGGCCTCCTCGAGAAGTTCACGCTCGACGACCTGATAGACAATCTCATGATCTACTGGATCACGAGCTCCATCGCGACCAGCCAGCGGCTCTACGCCGAGGACTTAGTCAAGCCCAATCGGGACCTCGACCTCAACGCGTCAGTATATAACTACATCCCTCCTACCGCCCCCCCCCTTTTTTTTGCTTCCCCGTCCATTTACGCGCTCGTTTAAAGCTTTTCTTCACCTGCACGTATAACCCGTACACACATGGGGCACGTCCCCTATCCTTTGAAAAGCCCCCCTTTTCCCCGCGGTGACCATGTGGCTTTTTTTCCTATAGATTTCCGATCGACGTGCCGTACGGGTGCTCGGCCTTCCCGCACGAGCTGATGTACCAGTCGGAGACGATACTGCGCGACCGGTACCGCAACCTCGTCCAATTCACCCACCCGGCCCGCGGCGGTCACTTTGCCGCCTTCGAGGAGCCGGAGCTATTGGCCGACGACGTCTGGAGCTTCGTCCACAAGCTCGAGCAGCAGCTGGCCGGCAAGCAGCGCGCCCTGGACAAGGAACGGCTCGAGGCCGCTGGAAAGAGGACGTGATCCTGGCTGAGACTCGGCCGCAAGAAACAGGAGGACGAGGGAGGAGGAGGTGCTTCCTCCTCGAGCTGTAACAGCGACGCGTTGTTGTACCTACACGCGCTAATGACGATGGTGTTGTTGTTGCTGGTGCTTGTATTTTTTTATGCGCCCGTACAAATTTCTTCATTGTTTTTACCATTGGGCATTACGTGTGACTATTGTACATTATTTGCTGTCGTGCCGTGAGGTATAATAAATATGAATAATAAATCTCGTTATCTCCTTCCTCTCTTTCTTCTTTACTTTTGGCTCATCGATGGACATGGGGCTAGGTTTCCTTTTTCCTGGCACATCGGTTAAAGTTTTACACGTTTCGTCCCCGACGAGGGAGCAAATTAAACGAGCCAAATCTATTCGCGGCGAAGATCGATATCCTCCCCCCCCCCTTCTTTTCCCTTCGATGCTCTCTACATCTTGCCAGTGGCTGTTGAATAACTCGACGGATGTGTACACGAGCCGTTCTCGAAATGTACGTGGTGAAAACCCTACACATGTATCCATTCAAGCTACCTCCGTGTTCGATTTCATTGAGCTTCGAGTACATATTTGTACCGTCCGCGGGAGAATCAGTAATAAAAGCTGGTTTTTTAAAAAAAGGGATCCCCCCACTGTTGGTTTATCCAACGTCGCTAATTGGGTGTACCAAGTATGACGATGGTGAAAGACCGAATAAGAAAAATAAAAAACCTCGAGTAATACAATAATATATTGTTTACGTCCGCGCGTGCAGACAGGCGCAAAATCACGGGGACAAGTATAACGTAATTACATCGAGCGGCGCTGAGTCAATACTTTTTTTTACCCCCCCAAGTGTACATTACAGGTATAACGAGTGATATGTTGTGCACTGTACGTGCAGTGTATGGTAGGGATCTCGTTAGAGCGACGAAGGAGTGTAGGGTGACGCGCGCCTGGTGCACCGCTCGCCCGCCAAACACCCGAAGCTGGCTGGTGTACGGTGAGCTTTGTTCTCTCTCTCTCTGTGTCTATTGGCTGTATATACCGATGTCGATATGGTACATTGATTTTTAACGTTTTTCGAGCTCTGGGATTTTTTTTTTTATCACGTTGACTTTTTTCGAAATTGTTTATCATCCGCGGGCGTATTCGTTTACACAGCCATACGTGTTTTCGCGCAAATACGAGCCATCATGAATATTTACAAGAAAACATTTATACGATCCTCGATTCGCTGCTGTTGATTTTTCATTAAAACAACGTTGATTTATCGCACGGGGTTTTTCTCCTTTTCCCGGGAAAAGCGTCCGTTTATCAAATAAATCGGTGCTCTTTCCTTTTTCGAAACGTTTCCCATATTTGCCTCTTTTGTATAAGGGGTTGAAAAAAAAAAAAAAAAAAAAAAAAAAAACAGTGTGCACGATTTCCCCAAAACTGCATAAATTAAAGCCAAAATCCGGCCCACGCGGTTATTTACAGGGTCGAGTTTTTCCCGGCGAGTGAGTGTGTACAACCTGCGCACGTATATGAAAATTCAAAACAACGAGCTCGCAGGAGGAGTAGTATAGGGGTGGGGATGGGGGGGGGGGGAATAAGAGGAGCCCGGAAGCTCGTGCTGCTGAAAACAAAAGGTCCAGAATTTATTGCACAGAAAGCCAGCCTTCCGAGTGCACCAGTGCGCGTCGTCGCCGGTGCCCCCAAGTTGGCGAACAAAAGCTCCCCCCCTCTTCCGCCTCGGGAGCAGCAGCTCCCTGTACACACGTGCGCTAGCATAAACGGATCTTGCACCCCGGGGATTATCACCGTGACATCGCGAAAGGAGCCAAGGAATTTTCGCGCCCCACCCCCCCCCCCTCAGCCGAAAACGTACATATACGCGGACCCTCCCGAGATATTGAATCCTCCCTCCCCCCGCGCCCATAAAAATGACCCTCTTTTTCGCTGACTACTTTTTCGGTCCAGCGGTGTACTTTGTCCGCGTAGGGTAAAAAAATAAACAAATCCGTGTTGTCTTGAGGGGAAAGAAAATAAAAGTAAAAGCATCCCAATTACAACTGTAGCGTATAAACAACAAAAACGCATTCTAACGACATCCCCCTGGGGGAGGAGGGGGGGGGCTCTTTTTGTAATACCCCGTAGCCGCGAGGGCCGCGCTGTAATTACACAGTCATAAGAATTCATGAAAAACTTCTCGCCTCGGCCGGGAGGTAGGGGGGATGGAAAAAAAGAGGCGCGCATCCCCCGAACTTTTGTCGCGAGCCCTACTTCTGGGGTTGGAGGCGGTGAAAAAACAAACTTTCGCGCAAAAAAAGTCGCTTACTCGAACTTTGGCGACCCACAGAAGAAAAAAAATGGGGGGGGAGGGAAACAAACCAGGTGCGAAGAAGAGCGACTTGGTTAATGGGGCCGGGGTATACGTAGCCGCGGTGTACGTACGCGTGGCTTCCGAAAGGGCAAAAGTCGGGAGAGCCGCAGTTGGCTCCAAGGGCCGAAACTTTAGGCGACGGTACGGGGGGAAAGCGAGCCTTTGTCAGAAATCTGAATGATACGAATGCGCGAAAGGAGGAGGAACAAAGAGGGTATGGCACTTGTTGGGGGGGGGGGGTTACATACCTATTATAACACAGTTTTCGTAAAGGCGGTGGGAATTATTCTCTCGTTTTCCTCGGGCTCCGGTGAGCGTCGTTTAAAACCATGAGTATATATGGGCCCTTTCGGTGCGATTAACGCGGAGAACCCGAGAAATGATGGAATGCTGTTATCTCGGATCAAGAGCCACGCCCGCCTGCAAAATCTTGTCGCATTTCCGTTTGATGAAACTTTTAATTCCTTCGTTCATTCAATTTAGATTTTTTCAGGAAAGATGCACTCGTCAAGAAATTTCTCGACACTCGAAAGCTCATCTCACGCATTTTCAATTTTACATTATATAGAGTCTTTTAAAAAATCTGTTGCAAAGATTCTTTTTTTTTATAAATGACTCCAAGGTACCTTAAAATGATCTCGTCACGTCGGCACAAGTTTATCACCACAACCTTATACAGCGGATAGTATATATTGTTCGTGGGTTATACTTTCGTCTCCCGAAAAATTAAAAGTTAGAATTAAAGCTCGAAACAATAAAACAATCGTTCAAACTGAGGTGCGCGCGCACAAAATACCATCACCTGGGCTGTATACACAAGTGGGTGTTATATATATATATACAAAGTGCTCCAACATATGTATACCGTGGTCGTGCAGTATAGCGCGATTCCGAGAGAGAATAAGCAGCGACGACAACGGGGCAGAGAGTAAAAGCGCGGCTACGACGACAACGGCGAGAAAGAGAGAGAAGAGACATCACGTGTATACGTATATACTTTACGGTCGATGGGTCCCCCCCCCCTCCCGAGAGTAGCCGACTCGACGCCGAGTTCTGCAGTGACTCTCGCGGACGCTCGACGTATGCTACCTAATACTTAACGATATCCATGTTTCACGAGCGCCACTAATTCCGCTACAGGCAGACCTACCGATTGCCCGTTCAATTGAATTACTCAGACCTACTGTACTTGTGTCGTTTTTTTCGATCATCGATTTTTCGTTTTTCTCGTTCGCGCGCGCGATCGCGTCAAAGGACACACATGTTGCCGATCTCCAAAGTTGGATCAGCACGGGGAGAGGTGCGCCGAGAGTTCGAATGAAAGTGCAGTAAACTTGCCCCCCGAAGTAGTTTTCCCGTGCCCGATTGGATTTCCAAACCGAGAGTCCTCTCGAAAACTTTGGACTTTTCTTCTTTTTTTTCCTTTTATTCATCAAATGGATCCGAGCGTGCCGAGTGCCGGGAAACTTGGCCCGTCCGCGCTGCCGATCGCGTAACGATGTGCGCGCAGTGAATTCGAACAACAACGGGGGAGGACCGGCACCTGTAAACAACTATATACATCGGGGTCACGCATCACATGTAACAAGCGCAAGTGGGTATATAATTGGCGGACAGAGGGGGGCCAGCCCGAAGCGCAAGGATGAGAGATTCGACGATCGTCACTCACGCCGACGTGTACAACGAGCTGCCGGGCACGTCGTCGAGCACAGCGGCTACAACCGACAAGTGAGTGTTGTCCCCATGCACACTTCCTCCTCCTCCCTTTCTCGATTTTATTATTCTATGCGTGTGTCACATGTGTATGGTGTGTGTGTGTGTGTGTGTGCCATTTACTGGCAGTTGCGATCGAAGCTTTCGACTCTCGGGTGCCATTGTCGTTTTGCGCGATGCGTTGCGCAAAAGATCGACGCTACACACGCGGGTCTAGGATTTTTTTTTTCCCCGAGGATTGCTATGAATAGGCATGACTATCGAAATTGATGTGTGTTTAGCCGGTGTCACTTTGGTACGGCGTCTACAACATCGGCCTTGGAAATTGAGTGTCCTAAGTGGACCGAGATCTGAGAGAGAGAGGCGCACCTAACTGTAATAATAAACCTTGTGTCGATTCATAAATATGTATTTGGCCACAATCGGCGGACAAAAATGGCATTCTGGCAAGATATTTGTATACGCCGTACTTTCATCTTGTTTTGATTATTATAAACAAAAAAAGCCACAAGTATGGTATCGCTGTACGCATGTGTATACCGAAAGATCAAACGAGCGATTTACGATACGTTTTGTTTTGAGCACCTACCTAAAATATCGTAAAGCATTTCATCACGACCGTATATACATATATACCTATTTACTATCGGCTCACCACGCGTTTTAGGCTGAGTTTATGGCATCTTTGTAGTACACACTTATACACAATCGAGCCGCGGCTGCAGCGCGTGGCTGCGATCGGGTTTGCCGTGTTGTGAAAACAAGCGGTGTGGGATCGTCGTCCCCGTCACCGATTACCTGCACGTACCGACTTACGCTTGTGTTTTGGTGTGGAGTTTTTTAAACATTTGATATATTTTTACTTGGGCGCGTTTTTCTTGATTGGCTCTACTAATTTTTACGTCGAAAACGTGAAAAACAACAAAATATGCCAGATATCTTTGTTGCAGAGGTATTTCAGTGTAGTAATAACTAAATCAACGATAAAACAATTAACTTTTTATACAAGTCTAGCAGCAATGATGAAATCATACGGAAACATTACTTTTTTTGCTTTATCAAAGTAGTATGGGATAATTAAGAGTTGCACGAAATATCAATGCAGAGAAACTACCAGCAGCTACTGTTACATTACCGATCTCTCTTTACTGGCATCACTTTGATTTATCGATTATTAT